GTATGTATGCATGTATGTATATGTATTTGTAAGGCTCAGCAGCAGGGTGCCCTCTCTGTGTTGGGTTTTGGTGTTCTGGTTCTCTTGGGGTGGTCGTGTGGGCCTTGGTCTTCAGGGACTGGCCTTTGGCCCACTGGTGCCATGGATCTTGGAACGCGGAAATTCTCCGTTGTACGCCGGAGCCGCGTGGATGGCGCCATGATCTGCACAAGCACCTGCAACAAGATTCCGCGAAATCAGCAGTACTTCGGAGGCCGCCCAGGGTGGCATGCACTTCTCTGCTCCTGTCTTGTTGGACTGCTATGCTTCCTGTGCAGGAACCCGCCCCAGGAACTTACAGCAGTGGGCTGTCTGCATTACCCTGGCCTCCTCTCTACAATACCACCCTGCTCGTGTTTGACCCCAGGTTTATCGATGGCTACACCTGGTCAGGACAACCGCACAGGCTGGTTGCAATGTGCCACTTCGTCGCTGTCGTGGGCAGTTTGGGCTCATAACCACTCAGGTCCTCTGTGCATACTGCCAGCCACACCTGCACTCGGAGCGCTCAGAGCCACCAGCGGCTTTCCACAACTGTGGAGTTGCCGGCACCATGCATTCAGCCGGGCCTCAGGACCGTCTGCGAGCGACAATCCTTGGTTTTTGCTGATTAGGAAGCCCGGCAGGCTTCGCCTCACGCCGCTAGCGCAGCAGCTCTTCCGTATGCAGCAAAACCTGACCTCTGCCTCGGACTACACATACTCAGCTACTGGAAACCGCTGCGCTTTCCCTGACCCGTCCTGGACCAAGTATCTTCTACGACCTTGTTCTCCGGATTTTGGGACTGGTTCTCGCTCAGGCCACTATGGGATGATGACCATGCAGATGGACGCCGCCATATCCAACTTGAGACTATGGATTAGGTACTGGCACATGCATCGGCCCCTACCTATGACTGTCGATATTAGAAATGCAGGCCGCTCTTGCACTCTTTTCTGCGCCTGCCCTGTTTTCTATGCCACTCCAAGGGTTCGAGCATTGCCTGTTGCAGCACTTTTTCTCTGCTTCCATCGAACCGTAGTCTGTGACCTACCTGCCCAGCTTCCAACGCCGGGTCGGAGCCTCAACCGAGCTCACCTGCAGCCTATCCACCCGCCTGGCCGACCAAGGTTTGAGGTTCCCTCGCCTTGGATCTGGCACCTCCAGCGTCCTGCCTGGTTCGAGGTCCCCTTGTCGGAAGCTCAGCATTGCACGTCCAGACCTTCTGATGTCTCCTGTGCGCCCAGGCTCGAGGCTGCCTCGCCGGGTGCTCCCTCCACTGCGCCGAGGGTCGCCCCATTCGGCCTTCCAGGACCGACACCTCCAGCAGCTGGGCGTCATCCAGCCCTCTTCAGCCTGCGCCCCGTTCTGCTGCACATGGCTGGCGACCGTTTTCTCTGTATAGGGTCACGGTAGGAGCAGTTCTGTGCTGTCACTTGCACGTGCCATCTCACTTGACTCACCTGCAGCCTTGGGCCCGCTTTTCAGCTCTGCCTTCCCTCTGCGATCGGTGGGAGACTACTTCTTCTGGCTCTTGCTTCTGGGGGCTTGGTGATCATTGGTCGTCAGCTGGGGAGGCTGTTCTTCTACCAACACAATGCCGCCGAAGAAGCCGAAGAGAAGAAGGCATCATTCGCCTCCATGCTCCAGTTCCGACAGTTCCGGTGGCTCCGGATCAAGAGGCACCGCTGCTGCAGCGAGCACTGCCAATCCTCCGGGCTCAGGCAGCCGACCTCCACCAGCTGTTCGACCGAGACGCTCTCCTCCTCGAGGCCCTCCACCGCCGACCCCAGTCAATAGGCCAAGATCGACACGTGGGGATGCTGTACCGACCGTTCCAGCTGCCACGCGGCCTCCTGCAGGACGGCCACCGGCTACGACGACTCCGAGCACTCCACTGGCTACGCCTCCGGGCGGTCTGGCACCAGTTGGCCCACCGATTCCCACCCCAGCCAGCTTCACCACCACTCGAAGCGTTACAGTGGTTTCGGGGCCGACGATGTTAAGGGCGACTGGTCCAGCCACAGGGCTGGCCTCTGGTGCTGCTGACCTTGCCACAGATCAGACGTTCAGAACTACCCCTGCTGGCAGCGTCATCACAATCCCGCTGCCTCCAACTGGACTGCAGTATGTCGTCTCCATCAGAACATGCCGGGCGCCGCTCTCCTCGCACCCGACTCCGTCATCCGGCCGCGGATCATGAGGACCACGAGGTTCACCCAGGCGATCGCTGTGCACGTCCGACCCGGCGAGCTCCGAGTGCATGGTCTATAAAATACTGGGGTGTGACCTTGTCAGTGTGCGCAAGACTGCCCTGCCTCGATGTACACCCCCTCGCTGCACCTGTGACGTGTGCCCCGCTCAGGTCATCGTCTCTATGTGGTTCGGACAGCAGGCCCGCTGCCACTCCAAAATCCATGCCCCGACCTCACGCCTGCACCCCATGCACTTTCATTCAGACTGATCCCTGCATGGGCACCCTCCGTCCTCGAGGCTGCCACGCTAAGTGCTCTACCAACGCAGTGCCCTGCTGGCCGAGACCTGAGCTTAACAATAGGCCGGATGCCAGTTGCCTCTTCTGTTCTGCCTCATGCAGCTCGGGCACCGCGGTGGCCTGTACCTCTGTCTCCTGCAACGCTATGTACTGGCTCAGATTCTCCCAGGGTGGTTCCTTTCATTTCGTACTTTCCCCCTGCAGGCTCTACTCTGAGCCCTGGTCCCACATGGCCACGCGGCATCTGAAACGACAGGCCCGTCAGAGGCAACGACTTGTGCCTGATGAGAGGCACCCACGCCTCTCCTCGGATACCGTGGAGGATGCAGCCTCTGATATCCGCGCTGCACTTCGTTTGGGGGCTCCCGTGCCCCCTCACTGCATGGATTTCTGCAGGGAGAGAGATACTTTGGCGCCAGAAGATGTCTCCTTTCTTCGATTTGTGCAATGGCGTACCCGCCCACCTCCTTTGACAATTTATTTGAGGTACCTCATACGCACTCTTCGCAACAGTCGTCGACTACGACCTGCCTCCTCTCTTGAGCCAGGCGACGCTCCTGCTTCCCCTGCCGTCCCTTCTGGAGACGTCAAGTCGGTGACCCCTCAGCCACGGTTAGCTCCTAAGCCGAAAAGGCGGCCACCTGTGTTGCAACAGACTCTGCCAGCGCGGCGTCCTTCTTCCACCCCGCCTTCGCCTGTTTCCGTTCGGGGAGGCACAGACACTGAAGAGAGCACTATGGAAATCCAGGCGGGCGACATCAAGCTGCAGTGCGCTCGCAAGGCTCGTCGCAAACAGCGCCATCCATCTGGAGACCTCACAGGACTGGAGTTGCCGGCAACTGCTCCGGCTGGTGCCGACTCATCGCCACCGATGACGTTCACCCCGCTTCCGGCAGATGACACTGAGATGCTGCATGCGGCCCCCCGGTCCCATACGGATATGGATCATGCTTCAGGGCATCTCACCGGCCCTGAACCAGGCGACCTCATCGAGGCACTCTTACCTCGTGAAGAAGGGCCACGTGCCCGCTCGCCCAGGTCAATGGAGACTGTGATTGTGGAGTCCCCTGAGCCGGCTGCTCCTGAGGCACCCATGCAGCCCTCACCTCAAGCAGACGCTCAAAACAACGCTACGATGTCTCTGCCTATGGGTGCTGCCGCTGCTGCCTCTGATGATCCAGCAGACGCCGATCCGACAGTCATTCCTGCTCCTGACCGACCTTTTGGCTCCAGCCGCGGACACCGTACCAGGACCAAGGACAAGATGGTGAAACCACGGTCACGACCGAGCAAGCGTACTTCTGCAGCGAGCTCTTCTACCCGAACCACGAAAAAGAGCCTGGACACAACGATTCACGATCCTGACTTCATCCCGGATCCAGCTCTCAGGCCGAAGCGTCGCAGCATATGGTTCACCGATGCGAGCACAGGGCAAAGCCCGGACAACGAGCGAGTGGGTGCATATATGGCTGAGCTGCAAGGGCCATCGCTTCATGCTTCTTTGCCTTCAGCTGTCATTCATGCTGTCATTCATGCTTTTCCGTGCAATGCTCAGGTCACTGCCTCATCTACCGTCGGATGTCACACTGTCTGGTGCTCGGATCGTTACCTTCACAACTTCGGTAGCCTGTGGCATTTGCACTTGCTTGCGCCCCCGTGGAGGGCACACTGCATATGCAGTCTCTTTGCTCAGTGCCGTTTGCCTTGCTCCTGTGACTCCTTCACTCCCCGATGGCATCTAATCTACAGGACAATCTGCTACAGCCACATCTGGACCCATGTCGGCCCCGGTCACGCCGGACGCCTCACAGCCGGCCTCACCGCCACCGAGAGTGGAACGACGGCCCCGTCCTCAGCAGCTCACATTGGCCACTTCCGCGGCTACAATCCAGACTGATGCTCTGCAGACAGGCTTGCATACCGGTGTGGATCGCTCTGCTCCGAATCAAGGGCTCAATCAGGAGCTCCTTCTTCTCTTCAGCTCTCAAGGCAATCCTCAGCCAGTCGCTCGACCTTCGGTGCCGTCCTCCACGACCACGGCAACACAGCTCTATGATAGGGCCTCCCTGGACATACTGCAGCGCACGATTGAGAACTGCCAAGCCAGCCTCCAACGGTCTGAGCGCGTTCATCAAGAGGCCAGCGAAATTCTTCGCACACTCCGAGCTCGATTACAGAGAAGCAGGAGTCCGCACAACCGACGCGGTCATGGCGCATGACATTTTTCTTCCTACTTGTCAGTCTGCCCCGCCTGACAGTGGCCGCTTGCGCAGCATCGTGGCACACAATGTCGCCACATTTTGGCTGCCGGAGGCTGCCCTCCTTACAGACTGTAGACCATGCACTGGCTCTAGCCTGCGCGGAATCCTAAACTTGTCAGCGCTGCATCCATATGTGCACCCCTGCAACCAGCCGGTTTGCACCTTGCACTGTACATGCATGCGCTCTGAAGGCTGCCGCACTCGGTCTGTTCTCCCCTCTCGCCGACATGCCTCTCAAATGTGCTATGGTCTTCGCCTCAGGTGTGCTCGCCTACGCCCGGTCTCCCGACCCAGGCCCCGCACTAGGCGCAACCGCTGTCGGACTACTCGCCGACATGCAATGTGGTCCCATCTCCTCGCCAGGTTACGATGTGCTCGCTGTCCTCAGCGTCATCACTGCTGGCACACGCCTCAGAACTCTTGTGAACCCTCTGAACACCATCTCCCTTCTCTGCGCACTGCTGCGCCCGGTCCCAAGTCCGGGCGGGACGTCTTGTGTTTGGCGCCTCTTCGTCTTCTCCGCATGATTGCCCCCCTGATGATGCCCCATCTTTGCGCCACAATGCATGTCCCTGAGCCGAGGGTTGGAGGCACTGGCAGTCGCCATCCTCCTGAAGCCGTCCAACAAGGGCGACATCCCTACACCCCTCTGGCAAAGCCATGCGACTCCCTAATCGCTTCTATCCCCCGTCTTTCTCGACCCTCCTTTGCCTCTTCCATTAGGAAACGTGCTCTCCAAAGGGCCCTCTCGAGGGCAGATCGTTGCGGCACTGCAATGTATCGTGGTCATCGTATTGAAGGCGGATGCGTGTCTCAACTGAGGCCCATTCGTACTCCACGCGATCAGCCCCCCTCTGCTCATCGCAGGTCTCCCAGACTACACTTTATGAGTTGGAACGCCGGTGGGCTCTCGAGCGAGCGCTACCAGCAGGTTGCTCTGTGGCTGCGCACTCACGGCCAGCACCTGGCCATCACGGTGATTCAGGAGACACACTGGGCATCTGACTTGACCTTCAAAATAATGGAGGGCTGGCTGGCTCTTGCTTCGCCTAGTCAGGACCGGGTCTCGGGCATCTTAGTACTGGTGAACCTCCGATTCTTCCAGCGTGACCAGATCCAGCTCACCTCTGTCATTGAAGGCAGGTTGGTTCACCTGCGTCTTGAAGGTAATCCCTCCTTAGATGTGGTTATTGTATACCAGCACCTCTACTCCAGTTCCAAAGCGCTCCCTGGTGCAGCGGGCCTCGAACAGGCCCTGCTCAGGCGCTCTTCTCTCTGGACCAAACTGCACCAAACCCTCGCCAGGTTCCCGAGTCGGAACTCCGTGCTGGTGTTAGGGGACATGAACACTGATCTCTTCCCTGACCCACCACATGTCGGTCAGGGCATACGCCGGCAGAGGCACGCAAATCGATTTTGCGCTCACGCGTCAGATCACTGCTGATGGCATTGCCAGGCGCACATGCCCGGTCTGGCTACCATTCATTGAGTCTACTGGACTCCGGCACCTACCCTTCCCTGTGCGTACCAAACAAGCACGCCTCCCCCGCCCCATCACCTTATAGCCTCCGTCAGGACGGCCCTTCGCGTGGACCCTACCCTTGCTGCCCGTTTTCAGGCACAGGCACAAATCACTCTAGCGCGTGCACAGCCAGATGATGTGTCCGACTGCCTTTTGCAGGCCTGGACCCTCACTGCACCCTGCCCGACTACGATCACTTCAACCCACAGTCCGAAGACTCAGCTGATCCTGCACCTTTGGCGCCTGCGGCGTGAAAGAAGATATTTCATGCAGCAACAGGATCCCTCTGCCTCTCGGGCTTGGCCCAAGGAGGCCGAGATGAAGGAGGCTGCCAAGAATCTCAAACTGCTCTGCGCCCAAAATAGGCAACATCGTATTCAGCAGATCTTGCAGGAAGCGGAGCAGGCTGCCCACAAAGGACTTACGGCTGTCTACCAGGTGGTGAAGCGACTTGCTCCCAAAACAACACCCAAGCCAATCCTTTTTCGGGACCCGCAGGGAACTCCCCTCACTACTTCTGCCGCCTCTACCGCTCTTCCCTGCCGGAGCCTCATCCACCGGGCCACTCTTTTGCCCCGTTCGATGTGGAAGAGCTTACGGGTGTCATTACGCAACTTCCCTCTGGCAAGGCTCTACCCTCCTGGCTTGCCCCAGCCCCGCTTTGGTCTCTTGCTGCAGCTCCTGTTGCGGACGTCATTCACCCGGCCCTGACCCAATGGCTCACTCACATGACGGACCCCATGCCGGGACAATGGCCAAAATCTTCGCTGTGCCTTTTGGCCAAACCGTCGAAGCCTCCGAAATGTCCTGAGAACCTCAGGCCTATCGCTCTTCTGCATCCGGTTTCGAAATGTTTGGCGAAACTGGCGGCGGGTCTTCTGCGCCCGACTGTGCAGCATCTTGCCACGCGTTTCCCCCAGTTCGCTTACATTGGGGGTCGATCTGTGGAAGACTCTATCGAACGCGCGTGTTCCCGCTGCGCTGCTGTACGCACCACTCTTGAAGCGCAAAAGTATAACATTCACCTTCGTCGCCAAGGGCACGTTACGGGGAAATGTAAGGGAGGGATCACCCTCTCCTTGGATCTCTCCCGGGCGTTTGATTGCTTGCCGCGAGAGATCCTGCACAAAGCTCTTGTCTTTGCGGCTGTGGAACCCACGCTCATCGACCTCATTCTCCACATCCATCGTCAAGCCACTCTCAATATCACGCACAAATCGCACTCCGTTGCTGTTGAGCTCCACTCGGGGGTGCGTCAGGGATGCAGCCTCTCTCCAGCCCTGTGGAGTATCTTCATTTGTTATGTTTATGAGAATCTCGCGTGGAGAGGCTGGGAAGATAAAAAGAATTAATTCTTCATTTTTTCATCATTTTTTCTTTATTTTTTCTTCATTTTGGCCTTCGTTTGGTCCATGCCTTCCTAGGAAGCGTAGAGATTTCTAGGGATTCTAGGGAATTCCTAGGAATCCTAAGCAAAATCCACCAAAACGAAGAAAAAATGATGAACAAATGAAGATTTCTGGTGGGGTTCTTGGCCCAGAGCCCCGGGGTGCAGTTTTTAGGAATGCTTCAAGGAATCTTCATTTTTTCATCATTTTGTCATCATTTTTTTTTTTTTTCTTCATTTTGGCCTTCGTTTGGTCCATCCCTTCCTAGGAAGCGTAGAGATTTCTAGGGAATTCCTAGGAGTCCTAAGCAAAATCCACCAAAACGATGAAAAAATGATGAAAAAATGAAGATTTCTGATGGGGCTCTTGGCCCAGAGCCCCAGGGTGCAGTTTTTAGGAATGCTTCAAGGAATCTTCATTTTTTCATCATTTTGTCATCATTTGTTCATCATGTTTTCTTCATTTTGGCCTTCGTCTGGCCCATCCCTTCCTAGGAAGCGTAGAGATTTCTAGGGATTCTAGGGAGTTCCTAGGAATCCTAAGGAAAATCCATCAAAACGATGAAAAAATGATGAACAAATGAAGATTTCTGGTGGGGTTCTTGGCCCAGAGCCCCGGGGTGCAGTTTTTAGGAATGCTTCAAGGAATCTTCATTTTTTCATCATTTTGTCATCATTTTTTCCATCATTTTTTCTTCATTTTGGCCTTCGTTTGGTCCATCCCTTCCTAGGAAGCGTAGAGATTTCTAGGGAATTCCTAGGAATCCTAAGGAAAATCCACCAAAACGATGAAAAAATGAAGATTTCTGGTGGGGTTCTTGGCCCAGAGCCCCAGGGTGCAGTTTTTAGGAATGCTTCAAGGAATCTTCATTTTTTCATCATTTTGTCATCATTTTTTTTTTTTTTTCTTCATTTTGGCCTTCGTTTGGTCCATCCTGCCGCCAAAAATGATGAAACCAACGAAGAAACAAACGAAGAATAAATGATGACCGAAATGAAGAAAAATGAAGAATTAATGAATCAAGGAAACCCAGTATGTAGCCGGGCAAGAATCTCATAATGTTATGTCCTCCATCTTTTGAGTGCGAAGATTCCTCTTTCCCTGTCTTACAGCGTTCTCTGATGACATCCTTGCGCAATGGGAGGTCCATGAGCCTGAAGACATTCTTCGCATCTTGCAGGACATTGCTTTCATCATTGACACCCTGACCTCCCTTGGTATGTCAGTAAGTGACTCGAAAACAGTGATCCTCGATGGTCTCCGAGGCCCCGCCAAGTCCAGACTCCTGCGTCCACTTCTACAGCGCCATAAGGACAAGGGCCCTTGTCTTCGAGTGATGTGTGCCACTGGACCATTAGACCTGCCCTTTCGCAAGCAGCATCCCTACCTGGGCATAGTGCTAAGCTACGACTGCTTCGAGAAGCTCTCCCTCCAAACAAGGATCAAGCAGAGTTGGGCCAACTTCAGCCGCCTCTTCTCTCTGCTCAGATCCAAGCACATCCTGCCCACTCAGCGCTTGCAGCTCTGGACTGCTTGTGTGTTCTCCACGCTGAGATACGGCCTCACCAGTACTGGCCTGCCTCCTCGAGGCCCTGATCTCATTCGTCAAGTAGTGGCCAAGCAGGTCCGACTTGTGCTCAAATCCCCAAGCTGGATCACTCATGAAACCACTGCTGACCTTTATGCCAGGTTCCGCTTCCAGGACCCCATTGTCCAGCTATCCAAACAGTTGCAATCGCGTCAGTCTCGTCCCTCCCTCAGCATTGAGGCCTTTGACACCCCTGAACGACTGCATTGGAGGGCTGCTCTCCCTGCGTCCTTTGTGTCGGCCACATCTGCCCCCTCGACTTCTACCACGCAGCCTGGACGTGAGACCTCTTGCTGCAGCCTCATGGATGTTTCGGGCATTGTTACGCGCACCTATGCATGCCCTCACTGCCCGCAAACCTTCCCTACACTGATCGCCCTTCGAACTCACTGTACCAAATCACATGGGCCATCATCTGACCAAGCTGTCGCACCTCCTGTAGAGCCTGATGCTCCACCTGTCTCGACCGAGACCACGACATCTCCTGACAGTGCGGCCGCCACCTTGGTTTCCTCCACTGGCGCGGGTGTCCCTCACTCTCGACCTCCTTCGCAACAACAACTAAGGGCACGCTTCATGCACTTTGCTAAGGATGGGATGCCCCACTGCACCCTGTGCAACCGGAAGTTTGCTGCCTGGCCACCCTTCCTTAATCATCATTACACCAATTCCTGCCCGGCTCAGGTCCACGACGACTCCTTGATCAAGAACCCTGCTGCGCCTGCTGCCTCCTCCTCTGTCTCGGCCGTGAATCCTGATTCCAGTGCTGATCACTCCGAGCTTCCTGCGACCTCACCAGCACAGGCTGATGCCTCCTCTCCCACGGTCGCTCACTCGGATACACTGCCGCTCCTTCAAAGACCTGACATTCGTGCTCTGGCTCTTCAGGATGACTGGCAGCCCCTGGCTCGTCAGCTTCGCTCCATGCATACCGGCCAAGGGTTGAAGCACTGCCCTGTTTGTCATCAGTGGTTCACTCGCACGCAAGACATCTTTCGTCATCTGAAGCGTCAGCACCCACTCCCTGTGATTCTTGAATCTCTGCGAGCTGACTGGCTCACAGCGCGCACGGCAGCAGCACGCTCACTCTGTAGCTGGTGCAGGCTCACGGTCTCTTTTAAGACCCAACATGTTGCCGCGTGCCCCGTTCTGCAGCAAACTATCACTCATGAGCTTGGCCTCTGCACAGGCTCTGGGCAGCGGTCTCTCTCTTCAGGAGGCCCAGAGACAGGAGGTACAGGCAGAGCTGCAGCTGCTCCAGTGTTGGGGCGAGGGAGCCTTGAGCATGGGTATGGAGCTGGACGTGGCGAACAAACGCCACGAGATGAAAGATGCGGAGGACCCAGCCAAGGAACGGGACTCGAAATGGGCCAGACCGGAATCCAAGGGTGGTTTCGGCCGGGGAGGGCGCGGAAAGGGCAACCAGCAGGGTCAGCCCAAGAATCCAGGCCCACGCAGACAGCCGATTCGCAGATCGACAGAGGCCGACACCAGAGCCCCGGAGGGAATGATGTGGCTGCTGGGCAAACTTCTTCTACGTCACGAGGACCAAATGGGCATAGACAGGACTCGAAACAGCTTTGTCATGTTCTTCAAGAAAGACAGCGCACTTTCTCTGGTCCCTCTGTTCGTGCAGAAATCTCAGCACTGGCATGCTTTGAAGGAGCAGAAGCAGGAGAAGATGGACGAGATTGCGATGCCTCTAAGATCCTTCCTACTGCACACCATGCTGGAGACTCTCGTGAAGAGAATCAAGGATACAGTAAAGAACGAGGAGCAGCTGAAAACAGCAACCACCCTCCAGGTGTTCTTGCCGAAGGAGGGCGATCTGGAGCTTCGTATTCCCTTCTTGAGCTACAATCCCGAGACCAGGGCTCTGGTACCTCGTCAGGATCAGGAACCCATCTACGTTTCCAAGATGCTCGAGAAGCTGCAACTACTCCAGAAGCAGTGTCTCTGTCCTCTGGCCATCATGCGCTTCCACTCCACCCAGCGCCTCAATGGCCCACTTCAAGGACCTACGGTCCCCTTCCTCCTGCAGGTGGGCTTTCGATCGCCGGAAGCGGCCGAGCTCTATCTGAGCCTCCGATCACTGGCCAACTCAGCAATCTGGCAGCTGGTGGGCGGCTCCTTGCGCCCAGAGAAGATGGGCCGCTCAGCCCTTGCAGCCGAGCTCGCCCGTCGCCTACAAGGGCCCTGCACTCAGACTGTCTCTATGTCCAGACACCTGCGCTTCTCCGCATCGCGAACTCCTCCAATCACTGCTATGCTAATTCGGTTCTCTGTTGCCTTCAGTGGGCCAACCAACTGTTATGCTGCTGTATGGCCCGTCCTCAGGTGATATGGTCTGAGGCCATGCATTCAGTCGTGCGGCGAATGGTCACACAGGCGCCTGCGCCAGATCTTTGGTCCTCCCTTCAGTGGGCACTTCTCCATGCTTCCTGGACCCGCCCACACTCTCAACATGATGTCGCTGAGTATCTCGTCTTCTGTCGCAGGTTTGTCATTCCGGACCTGCTCATGGGCAGGTGGCAAAACCGCCTTATCATTGCAGATGACAACCATCCTCGCTGCCAGGTGCGCGACTGTGGGGACGCATGGCCCATGCTCCTTGCTATGCCTCCTTCTCAGTGTCGCCGGAGTCCCGACAGTAGACTCACGATACAACGTCTTATTCATGCCTGGAAGGATCAAGCAGCTGCTGGTCTCACTGCCCTGGACAGTGAGCCGAGTCTTTTGGTTTTGCAGATTAACAGGTTTAGCACCACGGCCAATGGGGCCAAGGATGACACACATGTGCTGCCGGATCCCCGCATCTTGCTACCATGCTTTCAGCATCGCCCCCTTCCGCATGACTCCGCCCTTACTGTCCGATACTGCGAGTACCAACTGATTGCAGTGATTTCACATGAGGGTCCAAATGCAGCCTCCGGTCACTACCGTGCCCTCCTCTGCACATATCCTCCGGATGCGGAGCCGACCTTCTGGCAATGCGATGACTCAAAAGCGCCGATCATCCAGTCCGTGATGTCTTCGCATACCTTGGCCACTGGTTACTTGTATTTCTACTGCCGTACCATGCAGTCTACTGCAGCTTCGGACCTTTGAACGGGCCATTTCGTGGCAGGTCCGACCTCTGCTTTGACTGCCAGCACGTTTCTCACCGACATGTGCAAAGCACATGGCTCACAGCAGCCGGGGTGGCTCATAACAGCCTCGCCAAAGCGGAGCCTCTCTGCAGCGTCTGAAAGAAAGATATGTATTTGTAATTTGTGTATGTATATACATATATATATATATACATGGCACCTCATACATTTCTCTACATGTTATATTCGGTACCCGGTACCCGTTCACATCTTAGCTGAGGCAACACATGCGGGTCTCGTGGGGTCAGGTTTAGCGTGTATGATTTAGGCAGACAAAAGAGTCGTCCATGTGAACGGATGACATGGCAGGACACGCGACTACAGAAAGGGCAATTGCTTTGAAGATAGAGTTTCGTGGCATTTCGTATGCAAGCTGATGAACTGCTCAAGCTGTCCGGCTACTCAAGCAAACAGGAGCACGAAGCTCGATTGCAAGCCAACTACGACGTTTAGGACATGTCATAATCGCTGAAAGGCATGCGAACCTTACCGAAAGTGTAACAGACTGGTCCGCACATGCAGCATCAGCAACTCTTGAACCCCACTTGCACGACCATGGTTGTTTTCCAAGCTACCAGACCCCTTAGCCATTTTTGGGGCCCAGTGATTTGAAGTGGAATGCTGTGACTAATTTTGCTGACCCCTGTATTTCCCGTTGCACGGCCTTGAGCCGATGGCTGAAAGGGCTCATGGCGGTCCCTTATCACAGCAACAGTTGGAGCCAGGCTGCCCGTTTGTTGCCTTAGCGAGCAGGGGGTCCAGTAGCTGCGGTTACAGCTGAAGCCACTCTAGTTACAAGTACTCAAAATCCCAAATAGGGTGCTTATAGCTGCGTACTTTCGGAAGAGCTTTGCCCCAGACCGACGGGCAGGTCGACATGCAGCGGGCGCTGCAAGAATCGATGGAGACCAGCTCTCTGCGGCTTGGGACGCCCCTCACGACTCAAACGCTGCGGGAAATGGGTCCGGAGACTCAGGTTTTCAATGCACTTTCTCCGAGCTCGCACACTTGGGCTTTCCGACCGACGTGAAGTTGTGTAAGCGTGTTTGGTTAAACCACGGTCAGGTTCTTGAAGCCTGCAAACCCGAAGCCCTCATTGTTGAGAGTCGCTCTTGAACGTGTGCCGGACAGACAGCTAAACCCTAAACCCTAAGCTGCCTCTGCCGCATCACGGAAGTCTACACTCGGATCCCAAGGCCACGGGCCTCGAACCCATTCTCCCGTCCTGACCTGATGTCCGAACCTCCAAGCGGAAAGCCCTCAATGCCTGACCCTTCGTATCCTGAACCCCAAACCCCAAACCCTGAACCGCATGCCTTAAAGCCCTAAGCTCTAAACCCGAAAACGACCCCAAACGCTCAACCCTAAAAGCCCAGAAAACCCCTAAACAACCCCAAAGTCTCAACCCAAACATCCTACACCCGAAACGGCCCTAAACCCTAAGCCCCTAACAACAAGGCGTTTACTTCGAGTGGCAGGATCCGGGCTCGGACACTTGTGGTCAGATGCTCGGCCGCAATGACCTTCGAAATGTAGGCCTTGGGGTTTAGGGTTCAGGGAAAAATCATAGAACAAGGAACCACGAAAATGATATTTCCCTAGAGTAACAAGTATGGTAGAGTAGAGCAGAGTTTAATATAGTATAGCGGAGTAGAGTAATAGTTTAATCTAGTACAGTATAGTCTGGTCTAGTATTTTGAGGTTTGATTTTGGGGTTTACAGTTTTGGAATTTCGGATGATTGCCAACACAAACAGGACTACTTTTTGAGGTTTTTGCGTTCAGGGTACAGGGATATTGGTTCACGTGTCTCGGAGCTTGCACACAGAGGCGTGCACGGCGATTCTGCGGCGTATGCTGTGGCATTGTGCATATCTCGGGTTAAAGCCAAAGCGCAGGCACATGTTCCGACAAGCGTTCTGAACACACCCCAGAAACTTGCCTCTGCTTGCAAGCTTGTCTTGTGCTGCAGCATTATCCAGGAACGCTTTGAACAACCTCTGCCAGCGACCGATGTTTTCGATTGAGGACCACTGCTTCGAGGTTTCTTCGTGTTTCTTTTCGACATGATGAGGCAGCATAAGGATGCGGCAGTTTGTAGCCACACCCAGGGTGTCTGTCTGCATCAGCAATATTATCAAGGGTGCTGTCAGAATGGTAGGGTTTGGTAGTAGACCTTAGAGCCCGAAAAGGCTTAAACCCTGAAGCTTGAAAGCCTCAGCCAAGCAAACCGCGGCCTTGACGGAGGTATCCCCACTCGGGGGTCTTTCTTTGGTGTTAAGGGTTCAGGGTGTGGCGGTGTGGCTATTCACGGGCTGGCATTGCCCAGGCACCCTAAGTTTTGACCCTGAGCTCCCAAAGAGCTAAGCCGTTAAACCAGAGGCTTGAAACTCGAGACCACGAAGCCACCTTCCCAAACCCAGGACCCGGAACATTCCTAAACCCTCAATAAACCCTGAACGACCCCAAAATCCCAAACCCTAAGCGACCCTAAGGACTAAACCCCAAACCCAAAGCCCCACACTCTAGACCCCTAAACCCCAAACCCCTAAACCCCTAAACCGCAGACCCTATGATTCAAGCCATATTCCTTACAGTCCTTATAGAGAACCCTTATAGATCCGTTTAGGGAACCCTTTAAGGAATCCTTTAAGGTATGATTCCTTAATTAAAGGATCTGGGAGTCTTTAAATCTTGAACCCTAACGATCCCCTCTAGGATCCCTTATAGGAACCCTTAAAGGAATCCTTATAGGGTCCCTTATAGGAGCCCTTTTAGGAACCCTTAAAGATCCCTTTAAGGAGCCCTTATAGGTCTCTTTAAAGGGATCTATAGGATCCCTTTAAGGAGCTCTTTAAGAAACTCTTTAAGGAACCCTTTAAGGAACCCTTTAAGGAAACCCTTTCAGGAGCCCTTATAGGATCTATCGGAATAAGCCCTAAACCCTAAACCCTGAACGCTAAACCCTAAGCCCTAAACCCTAAACCCTTACCCTTAACCCTAAACCCTAAACCCTAAACCCTTAACCCTAAACCCCTAAACCCCTAAACCCTAAACCCCTAAACCCCTAAACCCTAAACCCTTAAACCCCTAAACCCTAAACCCTTAAACCCCTAAACCCGAAACCCTAAACCGTTAAACCCCTAAACCCTAAACCCTTACCCTTAACCCTAAACCCTAAACCCTAAACCCTAACCCCTAAACTCTAAACCCTTGACCCTAAACCCTAAACCCTTAACCCTTAACCCCTAAACCCCTAAACCCTTCAACCTTAAACCCGGAAAAAGGAGCTTCAGCAGGCCGAGGCTTCCCATGCTCAGGCCACCGAGGGCGGCAGCTTCGCCCAGGCAGTGCAGCGCCCAAAAAAACGGGGCCGCAGGATCTTCGATTTTCTGTTTTTTTTTTTTTTTGCGGGGGGGTTTGGGGTTTGGGGTTGAGGGTTTGGGGTTTGAGGATTTAGGAGTTTAGGGTTTGGGGTTTTGGGAGTTCAGGGTTTTTTCGGGTTTCAGGGGTTCGAGTTTAGGGTTTAGGGTTGAGGTTTTAGGGTTTGGCCTTGCGTCTGAGTCACGGTTTTTGGCAGGGTGTGTGATGGTGTTTAGGGTCTGGGGGGGATGGAAGGGGATTCGGGACGTGGCTTCTGTGCCTACTGTAGCTGGGATGTTTCTTGCCTGCAGGTTGAACTACTGAGGGCTGGGTAACCATCGCCGGGGAAGCCACTGTGCATGACAGAACTGCCTGCCGACATCCCTGAGATACCATCCCTCAACGAAGTGCCAAGCGGCTTCTTCGACGTCGAGGCAATGCGTGGGAGTTTTCGTGTCACTACTTTTCTTCTGAGCTGCAGGGTTTGCACAAAAATCTAGGGTTGGTGAATACGGAGAACCCAGACCAGAGACTCCAATATTCTTAATTACAGAATATACCTTCAATCATATTAGGGATCCTACTGGGATATTGGAGTCTCTGGGAACACTGAGTACATCAGAAGCCCCTGAAGCTGCTTTTTTCCGACGCAACACGGCACTCTAAATCAAAAAGTCAAGGATCCTGCCACCTCCACGCATGTGGGAGTTTCCGAAAAATAAGGATCCTACTATTCAGGGTACTAATTAGGGTCCCCTATTTTCGGAAACCCCCATGTCTTTGTGCGTCTGATTAAGTAGGTTGCATCGATTCTGCCTTCCTTTGATGAGTGGACTTGGAACCGTTTAACCATTCGTTCCTTATACGAGGGATCCTCCGGTTCAGTGAGTTCATCGGGGCCCCTCCGAAAACATCCATCTCCCTATGCTTGGATGAAGCCCTTAATGAAGCCTTGCTGCTGACCCCCAAGCCCTGAAGGAGCCTAAAACCCCATGGGGCCCTGAACCACGAAGGCCCTGTGAACCCCGAAGGCCTACACCTTGAACGCTAATCCCTAAACCCTAAACCCCTAAACCCTAAACCCTTGACCCTAAATCCTGAGCCCTAAGCCCTAAATCCCTCAACCCTAAACCCTCAACCCTAAACCCCTAAACCCTTAACCCTCAACCCTAAACCCCTAAACCCTCTTGAGCAAGCCAGGCTCTGAAAATCGCGGCTGCTGCCAAAGACCTGGAGATCGTGGATGTGGAGCCGGTGCCGGAGTACAGGACACTACCTTAAGGCTCCATGTACCCATATAGTACATATACATTGGCCTTAAAGTTCCTCTACTTGGAGGTTCATGGGTAGTTATAAGTGAGGTTATAAGTCCCCCCAATATGGGTTATAAGTACAGTTACCCTACTTGTAACCCTACTTATAACTACCCATCCGAACCTCCAAGTATAGGGACCCAAGGGTTACATCAGCGTTCTATCGGTTCTGCAGCTCCGGGTGTTTTTTTCAAGGGTTCTGCAGGGGCAGGAAAGCGTTCTGTTCGGGTTCCATAGGACTTCTTTTAGGGATTCACTAGAGTTCTACTGTGGCCTAGGGCCTC